TTAGTGCAATTCATTCATCCTGCAGTGCTCTTTTTTTCTGGAATAGTCCTCATGCTCTGGATCTGCATTGTAGCTCAGTTGCACTCTTAGAACACCCTTTATTCAGCAACTGATGATAGAGATATTTTAGCATGGATGTGGTATCACACAGATTTCCAAAGAATTTCCTAGAAGCTTGACAAGTTGCATAAGAAAAACAAGATTACTTAACTTCATATCATCTCACACTATATCAGTTACTGTCCCCAGATTGTACTTCCATTGACCATCCAGGAATTTTATTAAAAATTCCCAGGAAAGGTTAGAGAAAATGACCTGGAATTTTTGGATTTACACTCTGAAGGTCCATAAGAGCTTTGCTTAAAAAGTGTTGATTTTAGATGGAGATGCTGTCCCTTGTGTTGGAGTTCTAACCCTAGGAACACAATGATGAGCTATGGAGGTGAACAGAAATTTAAAACCTGGTTGGTCATGAGAGATTCAACTGCTAACTAGTGATCTGCTCGTATGTATCCTGATCTCTGGCCAGTTAGCACAGCTCTCTAGAGTACCTAAAAATAACCTTGATGTTCATGAAAATAAACTAACCGTGCTTTATTCTGCAGAGAGCACAACTGTCCCAGACAGACACTGTGAAAATGAACGTCATTTTATCTCAGGGAGAGTGAAACTGGAGGTGTGGTGGATTGGAGCCATTCCCTGTGGAGTAGCATCTACAAGTTGTGCAGGGGTCACCTTTTGTGGACCATGTGATTGATGTGTTTATAGCCTCTGTTGGGTGGAACCTCATTTCCCCATGTTTTGTGTTTCCAAGCAGTAGAATGTTCGTTAGTCTAACAATTCTGACTTCTCTCCACCCCGTCACTCACTTCTCCCAGAGGAGGAAAAACCATCTCCTGATCAGCCTATTGAAATTGAGCTATGCAATTTCTCTCAGCCTGCTGTTTATTGCTTTCATGACACTTGTCCTAAGTTGCATACATGTTGTTTATGTATCTGTTTCTCCTCTCTCTCTCATTAGACTATTAGGAACCTGTAGTTGGGTATACTTTTTCCTTTGCATTATATTTTTGGGATTTAACATGGTGCCTGAAACCTATCCACAAATAAATGTATCTAGAGCAACATGATTGCTATAAGGTTTTAGAGTTGGCAAGGGTGAGAGAGATTGCCTTCAGGTAGGTGTGAATCCAGGGTAGGGTTTCCATCCAAAAAAACGGAGAGTAGAGAGTCTTTGAGGCAAATGGAATGGCCTGAGTAAGAGAGTGGAAGTGGGAAAGCACACTGTGTTTTCAGGGAAAGCACAGTTTCAAGAGGATCCTGGGATGGTTCTGAGCAGGAGAAGGGCAGTTGGGAAGACTGGTCTAGCCGCACTGGGCAGGATGGGTTAGACTAAGGAGGCAGAGTCTTAGGGTGTGTGTGAGGGGCCCGGGGGTCTGCAATAAAACCAGCTGTGGGAACAGCTGTCTTAACTGCTTGTCCTGGCCATGAAGTCTGAAATGTTCCATCTGCCCCATGTAGCCAGTGTGTACAGCTAGAGGAGTTGGCTTGGTTTCTGAGTTCTACTGGGAGACAAAGCTCAGATGGCAGGCTATTTTTAAAGTGATTTCCTTTGTTTTGAGCAAATAATATTATTTTTATCTGATGCCCAATTACCTCAGGTACTGGATTCAGGAAAGCGAATGCTTCTGAGCAGGAAGTCTGGACACCATTACTCTTTCTATTTTCTGAGAGAAAATAGAGACATTTTAGAGACAAACAGAAAAGCATTCCCAGGGGTGGCAATGTTTTTCCAAAAATAATCAGCAGTTTCCTTCCCAAACCCCAGAGGACCAACCACCAGCAGTTCCTATTTCCCAGCATCTTCCTGAGTGTGGGTGTGGGTGTCTCTAGGCTTCTGCGGCCTGGGGTGTTTTTTGCTGGCTCCTGTGTTTAGGGTTGGTTTTTGCCATCATTCTGCTCTCTGGGCCCTCTCTGAAGAGAGAGCATAGTGATACAGATCCCTGGCTATAATTGTGAGTTGATGAGGCTAATGAATTTAGCCTCTCCATAGAAGCTCACTGAATAGCATCCATTTGTAGAGTAATCGTTCTAATTATGCAGAACAATGAAATACATCGTCTCGGGTGGGCCCCATGGCCGAGTGGTTAAGTTTCATGCTCTACTTCGGTGGCCTGGGGTTCGTCAGTTTGGATCCCGGGTATGGACCTGCACACTGCTCATCAAGCCATACTGTGGTGGCATCCCACATTGAGGAACTAGAATGACCTACATCTAGGACATACAACTATGCACTGTGGCTTTGGGGAAAGAAAGAAAGAAAAAAAAAAGCGGAAGATTGGTAATAGATGTTAGCTCATTAGCTCAGGGCCAATCTTAACAAAAAATGAGATACATCTTCCTCCACTAGAGGCTATTTATAACCCTTGAATACTAATCAATAACACAGATACTGATCTTTCAGACTAGAATCATAGCTCCTCACTCCTGGAATTGATGGACCTCAGAATCTTGCTGGAACCTACAGAAAAGGGAAGAGAAAGGAGGTCGTTTCCTAATGGGCTTCCTAGGGGATGATCAGGAACTCCAGGTGTCAGGGACCTTAGTTCTATTTCCCATGCTGCCCTCTGAATCACCCTGCAATAAGTTCTGATCCCAACTACTTGGAATTATGCCAAACTTCACAGAGCAAGGGTGCAGTTATCTGCAAGACTGCTTCGCTTCAGACGCCAATTGAAAGTTCAGAGGTCCCCAGGCCACCCTCACTTTTGACTGGTTGGCTATAAATTTGGGGGGTCTCACACCCCTTCAAGTTTAATAGTTCAATAGAATGACTCATAGAATTCAGAAAGTGTTACACTTATGATTAGTTTTATTATATTAAAAGGATATGAATCAGAATCAGCCAAAGGGAGAGATGCATAGGGTGATGTAGGGCAGGAAGACAATTTCTCTACCCTCTAGGTCCTTCTGGCTGGTCTAATATTCTTAAATTGACATGAGACAGAATAACAGGAGAAAATCAAACAAAGCTTTATAACATGAACAAGTGGGAGAAACCCAGGAAATCTGAGTAACTCAGCCAGAATGGCCAAAGTTGCCACCTTAAATACTGTCTTCAGCTAAACACAAAGGAGGATGTTTGGAGCTTCAGAGGGGAGGAAGGCAATTCACATGGAAATGGAAAAGTGAATGTTTGGTAAAGAGAATTTTGATAAGAATGTGCTTGGCAAAAACCCTCACAGTCTATTGAGATCCAGAGTTATCTATGGTAATGGCCTGTCCTGGGAACAGGCCTTCTATCTTAAATTCTTTTAGGCAGTTAGGGGGAAGGTCAAAGTTTTTTCAGAGCTTTTTGTCTTTAACCAAAGAGACACATTTTGGGATGGCCAATTCTGATGCCACATGGTGACATGTGGGACAGTGCTTAATGTGAAACTTCTGGTCATCCTCTCCCTGTGGAGATGTGGGAGGTGTTTTCTTCTCCTGGCCATGATATGTGACCATATGCACAGAGTATTGCTAACCAAGGAAGCTCACTTGAACCTCTAGGGATCAGAGGTTCAGAGTTTTTATTGGGGCTTGATCACACATACTGCTAATGTGGCTGACCTTTAGCTGCCAGCCCCTCCATGAGGTTCTGGGTAGTACTTTTAGTCTCTGGTTCCTCTGGAGGTTGAAACTCACATGACATGTTCCAAAGACCCCATCATAAATCACATTAGTAGGCTGACAGTGGCCCAAACCCTCAGGCAAACAAAGACTCACCTGTCAGACAGGACATTCCAGGGGCCTAGAGATCATCACTGAGTAGCTGAGGGTAAAGGCAAGACCTGTCTCTGGGAAAGTTAGTTTTTCACTATAAAGACCCCAAACCACTGGCAGATATAACCTCCTCCATTCCCAAGGCTGTGGAGCCTGGGAGGCGACAAAGTCCCATGTTGGGACCCTCCCTGACTAGGAAGATGAACACTATCACAGTCCAGACTACGGCAAGCAGGCTGGGCCTCCACTCTTAAAAGGCCTCCCCTCTGCCTTGGATCCCAGTGGGTCACATGCAGAGTCCCTGAAACTATTTGGCACTACTGCCCCAGAACAGGAAGTGGGGTTTCTGGGAGGACCAGCTAACAGCACATCTTTCGAAACCTCTTCCTGTTGACCTTGTTTCCTTGCTTCCTCCTTTATCCCTTCAGGTCTGTTTCTAAAATGACAGTCGCATGTTCTCCAGATCAAGGCTTAATTGTGTTGCAGGACAGCTGAGAACTAAGATTCATTCATTCAATAAGTACTTTTGGACCGCCCACTATGTGCAGATATTGTGCTAAGTGCTAGAGAAAATCAAAGTAAGAGAAATATGGTCACTGGTCTCACACAGCTTACATCTGGTATGGTAGGTAGAGAGCAACATAAGAGGATCTTCACCAGAAAAGGCTTCCCAGAAAAAGTAAAATCTAGGTAAAGATCTGATGGATGATTATGAGTAAATGGTGTGCGTATCTTAGTGGGGGTCAGGGAGTGGCAGGATGCTGGTTGAGAGAGAAAGTACCAGGCAAAGGAAATAAATGTGAGAAGGGTCAGAGGTGATTTGTGGGCTCTGCCCACACCCTGAATGCCTGATCCTTTCTGACAAAGATCTTCCTGGAGGAGGCCCTTGAGGAGTGACCTGGCTCTTTCCTCACAGGCTGACTTAGTGCCTCTTTCTGTTTCTAGATATGGGTGTCACTCCACCATCATTAATTTATTGTCCTGCATGCTGGCCCCAAGCTTGCACCCACTCTGACTAATATTTTACCTGTATAAACTCTTCTTCTTTTCTCCCATTTAAAGGTTCTTCCATGGAGGCTTTCAGAAGAACTATAGACAATAGAAATATGCCCACTCCTTTAGGGTACTATTATTGGTATCATAAATGGTGCACCTATTTTATTTAGCAAGTCTCATGATTGAAAATCATTTCCTTGTTGGCTGAATTATTTCCTTATTATCTCATATGTGTTTTATTTCATCAACAAAAATGAAAGCTCAGTACAACCAGGAACCTTATTCCACAACCCCATTTCACCATTTTTTTTTTTTTACAGGGATAGAAAACCGTTAAAAGTGTTTCAAAGATGTTTCTCGAATATGGGATTTTTCACCACTCTGCAAGGTGAGAAAGGTGGAGGTGAGAAAGAGGAAAAACCAGGCAGTATTAGACTATTTCACATCTCCTTCATACTCAACTAATAATCTCACTTCTCATTTCACTAAGAAAATAGAAGCAATCAGAGTGCAGCTTCATCTTCTCACTCCAAATCTGACAACACTACTGCATCTGTATCCATGTTCTCTGCCCTTTCATCTGTCTAATGGATGAACCCTCCCTGCTCATCTGAAGGTCAGCTCCTGTATTCAGGTACCGGACCCCACCACCTTTGCCAACTAAAGGGCTTCATAATGTTAGATTCTCTGCTCTGCATTATCAATTTCTGTCTCTCTGCCAGTTCACTCCAGTGAATATATATAAGTATTCCATACTATCATCTATGCTGTCTCATACCCCTGAGAAAATGTCTCTTGCTTGACAGTTTTTAACTCAGTATCACTGGGAGGTAAGAAAATGTGGATTTTCTTGTGTTTTCTCACTGATTTCTCTGCTATGCCCCTCTCTTCCCTCTTCCAGGATTCTTTAAAATATTCACAGTATGTTTTTTTTTCTGACTTCAGAGGAATGGATATTCATTACATATAATGGGAAAATAGAGAATATATGAAGAAAATAAAAATCACCTTTTAAATCAAACATGCAGAGATAAGCTTTGTTAACAACTTGGTGAATTAGCTTTATATATGTACATTTACAAAATTGTAACGATGTGGTTTATTTGGTTTTATTTATTGTATTTTTTCCCTTAACAGCAAGAGTATTTTCAGATCATTAGTGTGGTTTTAATGGCTGCATTCGTACAGAAATGGCCATTATTTATTTAACCATTCTACTACTGGTGGACATTTATATTTTCCCCAATTTTTGATATAATAGAAGTGTACAATGAAATACGTCTGTGTAGTTATTTATGCACATGTATGATTATTTCCTATGAATTAAATTTGTAGGAACAGAATTAATGGGGCAAGCACTTAACTCTCTCTCTCTTTCTCTCTTTCTTCCTGTAGTAGCAAAGCTCAGAATCCAAAGTGCATGTTCTTTCCACTGCTGGACCTTTGTGTCTTCAACTGCAAGCCTTCAGGTGTTCCAGAGCACTCCTCAGATCTTCACATTGGCAATGGCCATTATAAATTTTCTTTAAAAGCAAAATCTCTAAATTACAAAAATGATTCAAGCTGGCTGTTGCGATCGTATAAACCAGAGATGGGTAAAGGAAAAGGCTGATCTCTTCTGTTCCTCTGCTTCCTCTCCCACACTCCCCTCTCTTTTGCCAGGCTCACCCTCCTGAGGAACCAGGGACATGTCCATACATGCCTTACTATAAGCTTTTATATGTATAGGTTTTATTTTGTTTTGCTCTTGTAGAAAATTAAATCTTACTATAAGCAATATTTTTCATCTTTTTTTCTCCAATATATGATAAACATCCTTCTAGGCCAGTGCACAAAGTTATAATATGTTCTTTCTAGTGTTAGTATAATAATCATGATATTCTAGATTACTTGCTATTTCTGGGTCAGCAATTTTAGTGGGACTCAACTGGGTATTTCTTCTGGTCTTGGTTAGACTCCCTCACACATCTGAGGTCCAGTGTGATCAGCTGCAGGTCAACTTTGTTGATCTTAGCTGGGCTCTCTCACATGTCCAGGGCCTCAGCTGGGTCTGGGCTGACTTGGCTCTGGTCTGCGTGGTCTCTCATCCTCTAGGAGGCTAGCCTGGGCTTATCCACGTAGTAAAAGCAGAGGTCTCAAGAGAGCAGGTAGGAGAGTGCAAGGTCTCATGAGGTGTAAGCTCAGAACTTGCACACTGTCATTTCTGCCACATTCTGTTGGCCAAAGCAAATCACAAAGTCAGCTCAGATTCAGAGGATGGGGACATAGAGTCTACCGCTTCATGGAAGAGCTGCAAAGTTACAAAGCGCATGGATTCAGGGAGGCACATGCGATTGTGCCCATTTTTGCATTCTATCACATATGGATGTTCCATGATTTGGCCCACCAGTCTTGATGAGCATTCAAGTTATTAATATTAATCTTCTTAAGGGCTTTAGTAAATATTGCCACATTCGCATTTAAAAAGTTTGCACTAGCTTACATGTTGATCAGCAGTGTATGACAGTGTTTCACCAATCTCCGTTATTCCACGAAGGACCTTTCTCCCCCAAACCCTATCAATTTATTATACAAATATGCTATATCTTGTTATTTTATTTGCTATTTTGATAATTATTTGTGAGATTGAATTTATTTTCAAATGCTTATTAGCCATTTTAATTTTTTCTTTTGTGAACTGCCTTTTCATAACATTTGTCCACTTTTCTATTGACGTGTTAAATTTTCTGTATTTTTTTAGGACATAAACCAATCTATTATAAAAGAACAAGAACTTAGATTATTCTAGAGGCAAACAGCCCAATTTTGTTTATTATCTAGAGTGGACAGAAGCTGAGTCTTTCTTAGACAGTACCCTAGTTCCTTCAGTAAAATTATGCTCAGGTCATATCAAGAAAAAATTCTGGCAGAACTCCGCCCTACATTCTCCTTGCCAAGAAGACTTTTCTTCATTTTCATGTATAACATTATATCAATGTTCTTATTTTTTTTTTGTTTTTAAGAAGTATAAACTTGTAAAACCTTAAAAAACAATGGAAAAGTTTAAAAATGCTAAGGAGCAAAACCAAGGCACTTCATCTGTTTATGAAATTTGAGGGAAATAGATTCAATTCAATTAGTTTATCAAGAATCATCTATAAGCAAGAGACAGCGTTAGATGCTGCTGGTTTTGAAATATGAATCAGACAAAGTTACTGCTATCAAAAATTTAGAGTCTAGAACAGCTCTTGTGTTGTTGAGGAACTATAAGGATTCTGAGAATCCATATGTGCACCAGGCATGGTCTACGGATTGAATAAACATCAACCACAGCAGTGATTATAGCTAATCTTAACTGAGTGCTTTCACTGTGTCAGGTACTCTGACAAGTTTGTTTTATATATACTCGTCCTTCTAGATTAAAAATATACATGGATGTATTGTGATTAGTAAAAAACCAACGAACAACTTTATTTAAAAGTGTTACTGTATTCATAATACTACTTTTCAATCAGAGGATATTAAAAATCTATTACCATCTCCAAAATTTTCGCCTTTAAAAAGGAGGTCTCCATGTTTAAAAAGGTTGACACCCACCCACCAAGAGATGTGACAGAACATCTCTGACTGAAGATTGACACAAGATTAAAAGCGGGATGTGTCATCAACCGCACGATAAGGTTCAGAAATTCAGCTGTTTGAATATCAATCTTAATCTCAGTTTCTGAGCTGTAATCTGAATCTATCTCATGGTCCTCACTTTTTGTGCCCATTTTGAGTTCCCAGGCCTGGTGAGAGGAGTGGGGCTCCTGTTGGGAGACCATGGATCTTCTCTGGAGACGGCTTGTGGGGTAGCTGGCTGCTCACTCAGTTTGTGTGGGTTCTTCTGGACATTTATTTTCAGGGTTTAGCGAGAGATGGGTAGGAGTCAGGAGCCAAGCCAAATGTGAGCATGAGGAAGAAGGAACACACCTGGGCATCTGCTAACCGCTTAGTCCCAAAGGCCTAGTCCTCGGCATTGGTCCTCCATCTTTTTCTCCTCCCCTATTTACTTGCCACAAACTTAGGACTCCAGGCCACAGGAAACTGATCAAGGAGACCCAGGCCTGGGAACTCCTAATCCCTTGGTCCTGAGCCACATCCTCCACATTTCCTCATCCTGGTGGACTCAGAGTTTAGGAAAAGGACACATTACATTGTTCCACACAGTTAAAGACAAGAAGGGAACGGTGTTGATTTTTATTCATCATCACTATCATACTCTTAGAGTATTATGAGTTACTTGTTGAAGGCATGATAAATATGAAAAACTTTAGAAAAGTATCCTGGTGTAACTATTGAAAATGAAAAAAGACATTTTTTCCCCTCCTTTATGGGTTTGAAGTGCTTTTGAAGTTGAGGAAATACTGAATAAATCTGAAAGTGAGATGACTGCTGTCAGCTGAAGATATTGTTGTCATTTCAAATAGAGATATTGCATTGCGATTTAAGGTAAATCTCTCGGAATCATTTTATTGTTTTAAAATTCATTTTTACACTGAGGAATGCCTTTAGCTATGTTCCCAAATTTAGGAGAATCTGCACAGTCCTTTTATACTGGTTGAATAAATTAGACCTAGATCAGCAATGCTGCATTTAGCTATTTACTAGTCACAAGGTTGGTGAGTCAGAACAGCTTCCCATGGTAAACACAGTTTACAATCACAATAATCAGTGTTTTCTAGCAAACATCTAACACGCCAGGTTTCTGTAACAAACATTCTTAGGTAATAGCTCTTGGAATCATTAGGATACAATTTTCAATGTTATAGGAAAGCTCTTTGCTTTTATGCCAGGCACTGGCATTTCTATGAGGTACCTATTATTTACTATGCCAATTTTTCAAAAAGACTGAAGTGTGGAAAAGTGGAGTAATTTGTTCAAGGTCACAGAGCTAAAATACGAAGGATCTGAATGCGCACAGCCTGTATCTGGAGCCTATGCTTTTTGCCTCTGCCCTGTACTGTTACTTCGTTGCGTTTCATTAAACAAAGGCTTATTGTTAGCTTAGTGCTTTTCAGTTTCAGATGTCCTTGTGTCAATAACTCCCTAAAATTTCTCTCCAATTTCTTTCACAGAAATGGTATTTAGTTTTAACTTGACTTTTAATTGTGGCCAAATCAAACATGTTTTGGGTTCATAAAAACTCAGTTCCACAATGAGCTGCTGGGAGAAAATATTCATCTGTTCACTGAGCCTTTGTTTCAAAACTTCACGAATGTGTGCAGCCTGGGTCTTTTCAACACTTCACTAAAGCGCAAGTCAGTGTGATAAGATCAACAAGCAGCTTACATTTTAGTAGAACAATAGAGAATTTTTAAAAAGACTCCATTTTTCTGTTAAGCCATTCTGTGCTTGTGCTTGGTGACACCTGCTGATGGATGACCTCCTGTCGGCGTGGCCAATTCAATGAGAGGACCAACACAGAAGTCTACAAATGATGTGGGGACCGGGGGCGTCTGTTCTCTTTTTGAAGTGATGAAGTCTTTGGGTTAGATTTATGATGTTTTTTATTGCCAACAATGGCTGCTATGAGATTTCTAAGAAGGTGGGGAACGAATGAATGTTAGGCCTTGAAAGTCAATTGTTCAGAATTTCTGAAACATATGCTGGTCAATGGGTTTGCTGTCAAAACAGAAAAGATTGATAGAGAAGAGGACATTTCTTTAGAGAGCAGCATGCCATCCTCTGCCTTTGAGTGCCCTTAAGGGAGACCAATTTGCAAGGCTGGTATTTACTCTTACATTTCACTTAGTTGTGGCATTTGCATAGTAATGTTTTCAGTTTAACTTGGGATGTTATTTTAAATCCCGTACATGCTGCATATAAAAGTGTCCAAGTGAATTATCTTATGTGTCTACTGTTTCTCAATGTTTGTTTATGTGCCTTTTGAAATAGCTGTTTCCCAGTCACTGCCTTCATTAGAATAAACTGTCAGCAGGGTCCCCCAACAGGAATATGACTTCCTCTGGTGCCTCTAGTATCAAGTTCCTGTATTACACCAAATTCCATACTAACCCAAGCTATTTCTTTTAGTGAGTAACCAGATTAGTGATTTTCAGTTGTGATGTTTCGATTTCCTGGTCTTAGAAAGAGCACATCACCCTTGGTAGGCCCGAGAGGGTTATGTAATACACAGGAAAGCCATTTGTCATTTGTGTAGGAGCAGAGAAGACTCTGAATATGGCTGATCCGGTGAATAGAGATGTAGAAGGTAAACATTTTGCAATTTACTCAGATGTACAAACCAAGACAGCTTTATTTTCTATAACAACTTAATTTCGAACTCCAATAACCATTTTGCCTGGAATCCAAAAACTTACTTTAATATAGGATTTTCTCAGTTAAAGCATGACTTTTTAAGTCAATTCAAGATTTTCTCCACCAGTTCAGGTTTCCCCCTCCCCCTCCTTGGGATGACATCTAAGTTCTAGAGGGCTTCAATGGTGTCCTGGCATTGTTTGGCGGCACCTGGCCTGTGCTGGCCCCTGTTGGGATCCTGTGCTTTGGGTCTGGTCTGCAGGATTACTGTTTCTGTGTCCACATGTCTGAGTCCCTGTAAATTTCTGGTTGTTGACTTGCATATTCTATGTTCTTTTTATCATAAAACTGAGAGCCCTCCAGGTTCACCAAGGCTCTCCCAGTTGATTCCTCAATTTTCGTGTGCATGTGAAAATTCGTCTGCTCTAACATCAGTCTGACAGAACAGGGCTGTCTTGAGCTCTCCAGGCCCATTGGCAATGCTGCACAGCTATCTCTGCCCTGGTGGAAATTTGCAAGAGCATTGTCGCCTGGCTTTCTGACAGAATTGTTAGTAAGTCCCCTAATCTTAGATTCCTCCAAACCTCCCTGGGCTCCAATATTGTCCCTCTCACCCCATTGGTGGGAGAGGGTATGGAGGTGGGGCGCAGAGGTCTTCTTCAACATCTTACTTTTGTCTCCATTGCCCCTGGGAATTCCCACAGACCAAGAAATTTACATTAAATCTAGGGCTGCATAATTGGTCTTTGTATCAATCTATATTCTCAGAGATCTTGTTTTTTTCTGCTTTTTCTCCCCAAATCCCCCCAGTATATGGTTGTATATATATATTTTTTAGTTGTGGTCCTCAGAGATCTTTTTTAAGGCATAGATTTTTCTAAAACTCAAAAGTTATAACCCAAACTCAAAACCTTTTTCTTTCATTCTACTGTTTCTAGAGGAAGTTTCCTAATTTTATTTTGAAGCTTGAAAGCAAAGGTTTTATTTATTCTTTTTTCTTTTGTGTTCATTGTGTCCTTCCTCCTCCAGTAAAAGAAGTCAGGACTTCTTGCCTGACATGACAAGGGTTGAAGGGTGAAGGGGAAGTATCAGAAATAAATACATATCAGCTCATATAAAAATGTTACTTTCTCGGGCTGGCCTGGTGGTGCAGCGGTTAAGTTTGCATGTTCTGTTTCAGCATCCCGGGTTCCCTGGTTCTGATCCCTGGTGCGGACATCGCACTGCTTGGCAAGCCTTGCTGTGGCAGGCGTCCCACGTAAAGCAGAG